TGATTGGCCTGATTTACTCAATAATTACTCCTTTATTATAAATAATAGAAAAAAATGGTTCAGGACTTTTCGACTCAGTTTTATTCCTTCTACCTGCCTACGAGAGATTGTACGGCAATTCTGGGACACCCTGTATATATAAGAATTATAAAATTATTAGTATATCCGTTAAGTAAATTTTTTATTAGAAGTAACGTAATAAAATAGAATAATGTAAACAAAAAGTACGTTAGCTCTTTGTGGCTAAGATCTACAAAAGATGACAAGTTGGCCAGACCGGGTCTGTGAGACCCATGCGACTTTAACATCAACATTGCGAAAAATCAATATTTTTTCAATTTTGTTTTTTTTTTTTAAATTAAAAGTTCGAACGATTCTGCGTCGATAAACAAATAAATTGGAAAAAGTAGTTGTAGTAGTTTCGAAGATATAAGCGTTGAAAAAATCTAGTTGTTTTAAAAACGTTGATGCGTGCAATTTCTGAGAGACCCACATCCGGACTTGAAAAGTTAATTAGTATTTGTCTAACAGAACAAATAAATAATATATAAATATAAGGACATGAAGAGCCGTTCGCAGGATGTGCGTGAATGTGAGAATATATATATGAATGCATATATATATATATATATATATATATATGTATTCACATAATAATATTTTTACAATATAATATTTTTCACGTGAGTTTTTTTTTGGAATTGAAATAACAATTCCTTAAATCAAATATGACGTTAATATTGCATCTTATACATGCAGGGTCCCCAATACCCCCTTAACTAATTTTTAAAATATTGCGAAAAAAAACTCCTCAGCCGCAATATTTTAAAAATTAGTTAAGAGGTTATTGGGGACCTTGCATGTATATAAGATGCAATATTAGCATCATATTTGATTTAAGGAATTGTTATTTCAATTCCAAAAAAAACTCACGTGAAAAATATTACACGTGAATACATATATATATATATACAATGTATTAAAATTTTTCTTCATTTATCAAATTTTTTTTAATTTTTCAAATTTTTCTTAATTTTTCAAAAATGAGATATACAAATTGCCCTCATAATATAATTTAAATTTTTAATATACATATATCATAAATATAAAATACTTATAAATATTAATATACATATATATATATGTATATTCTCACATTCACGCACAACATCCCGCGAACGGCTCTTCACGTCCTTATAATCATATATTATTAGTTTAAAAGACTTATAGAGCCTGAGAGTAATCTCTATTTATCACTAATTGTTAGAAAAAAAAATAAAATCTCTTCTTTTCTAATAGAATTATTATCTAGAAAAAAAAGTCGATTTCAGATTCAGCGACATCTCCGAATAAAGAATAGAACTTAAAAAACAAATCCTAAGTAATGTACGCTGTATAGCTCTTTTTCGTACGTTTGTGAATTGATTGAACGGAAAGGCGCGCGACAATAGCGGAACGACGGTGCGCGCGTCGGCACCGCCAGCCATCGGGATCGAAATAAATTCGCGCTCCAAGTTCAAAAGAGCCGCCGTCGCATCCTCGATCTGCGATTTGTACGTCGAAACGGAGCCAATAATTCGATCGGGATTGAAGCAGCCCGAGCAACGAAATATTTCCGAGACCATCGGAAGCATAGCGGTTACAGGACGCGCGAACACGGCCACAAGAGCGTTCGGACAGAAGCGAAGTATCTTATCCGTCATCTGGCGCACGTAATCGGCCGCAGATTTGAATAACACTCGAGGCGTCGTATCGCTTGTTCCGCCAATATCCATTTCGTCCATGAGCGCGACGATATTCACCTGAACAGTTGTAATTTTAATTTTTCGATTGCGCTCTTCGCGCGCTCGGTATATGACTTATTTGAGACAGTACCCAGATAGCCAAATGTGAAAAAACTCAATATAAAGCAAATCATTGTATAGATTAAGTTGCTCGCCAATTGCTGTTGTGTTGTTTTTTATTTAACGCAACGAAAATGTTTTTCAAATTAATAATGAGGAAGAATAAGATTCTTTGGGGCTCGGGAAGTCTTTAAACTAATGAATGAATTAAAATCAGGTTGTTTGAGCCGCGTTTTGCAGGATGTTGTGCAGAGAATGTGCTTAAATATATATATATATGTATAGTATATATGCATACACATATATTTAACGAAATAATTTTTTTCCTCCATATAGGATGCTGGATTTGCATACGGGGTCCTTCATATATACGTGATGCAAATCCAGCATCCTATATGGAGGAAAAAAATTATTTCATTAAATATATGTATGCATATATATATATTTAAGCACATTCTCTGCACAACATCCTGCAAAACGGCTCAAACAACCCGATTTTAATTCATTCATTAGTTTGAAAATGTTTTTGTCAATTCAGTATCAATATGCTGAGTTTTATTTATCAATCAATTGTTGTAGCCACCCGGTAAAAAATTTTTCATATATATACTTATACACAAATTAAAATTATTATATCTAATTATGCAAATTTATATGCCGAATATGTCCATACAATTTTATACATGGAAAATTTTTTACCGGGCAATGTTTAGGACATATGAGTCAGCAATATGTGAGCAATATATGGGCAATAATTTTTATTCACAAGTTGAGAAAAATAATATAAGTTTATTGCCGATGAGTTGTTGAGAACTTGCTGTTATTATATTATTTTGAAAACTGTTGCTTGGCAAGAACATACCGAAAAGAGGATACACCCTTTTGTTACATTGCTGAAAACATATGAGCAATATTTGTGGCAAGTTGCCAACAACATGCACTCAGTTGGCTATCTGGGTAGCTTCATTATATTGTTTTTTAATAAAAATTTTGAAAAATATTTCTGTGAAAATCTACAGAAATTTATTCGATCAACATCATATATTTCTGTAACTACATCGAAAAAATTATATTCTCGTAAGTAGAAGATATTATACTTAAAAAATCTTCTTAAAGATTTTAGATGATATATTCTTCTGAAATTAAGAATATATTCTTTATTTAAGAATATATTCTTAATTTAAGAATATAGTCTTTTTCGCGCGCGCGATGAGTGAGTGAGATATATATGTTTTTCTATAGAGGCTTTTTATATTCTAATCAGTATATATTCTTATCAATATTACTATTTAGAGGATTTTCCTCTTAAAAT